AGCTCACCTGAAGTACTGCTCAGAGTTTGTCTCAGAAGAGCTGACCCCGACACCGAAAACGCAAGTTTTAACAGAACTCTCAACCCTTCTAAATGATGCTCAGCTGAATGAGGAAGTTCAGTTTGTTGCCAAAAATGCCACAGGACTCATGGACTTAATCACTTGGTTTGAATCTCGACATGTCACAACCCACCAAGTGTACAATAAAGAAATGGATGTATGGTTCTGGGCTGAACCACAGACAAACGAAAAATCACTCTGACAATGCTGAGTTCAATGCCAGTGCTCAGCAGGTGTTTTCTTGCATGGCAAAGAAACTCAGACAATACTACCGCTATGGGGAAGAGGCAAGCGACGTAGCAAAAATGTCTCAAATTTCAACAACCTGCAGCAGTGTTCCTAAAAGCGGTGTGTATTTTTGACCCTGCACAAATGCACCTGTTGATGGTGGATTTAACCTCGCTTAATGCAATTCCTGGCTTTGATAAGAATTGTAGGCTGGAGATGCCTGCTCACAAAAATATTGCGAAAGACGCGAACTGTAGTCTGCCTGAGCTACAGTTTTGGAACCCAGCGGAAGGCAGAATCCCCCATCTTGCAAGGCTAGCTCGGCGCTGTCTGACATTGCCAACGAACTCTGTGGATGCAGAGAGAGCCGTGTCTAAACACAGCACAGAGACAGGGAATGAAGAAAGACATGGTCGCTGGATGCTCCATGCTGACATTCAACTAATGACATTTGAAACCAGAACTTCCCCCCCCCCCCCTTGTTTTTGTTAACTTAAAGCTGTGGTTCACAAGTTTGAGATCACTACCCTACAAAACGGTCTCAGATGCCCGTATCTACCAATCAGGGAGCTGAGCCCTGAGTGTTATTTGCTGCTGTGAAGTGTCCATCGATAAATCCTGTCAGGTTCACATGACTTTTATCTTATTGAAACAAGCTAATAATTGCATCTTGAAGGGGGGGGGGGGCACACAGTGACCCCTCCCGCTACAGCTGCAGAGCGATGGGGGCAAGAAGCGAGTATGGGGCAAAGGGTGTGGAGCTTTCTGCAGCCGGGAGAGGTTCCCAAGAGCAGCCGTGCAGAGGAAGAGCAAGACTTGTCCCCCCCAAGCTGGCCAGAACTAGCAGCTAGGAGTCCCTGGCTGGGACGCTCCCAGCAGCACGAGGGAGATCAGACCCACCTCCACCTCCAGGAACCTCCTGCGGCTGCAGGAAGCTCTGCGGTTGCTGCCTTCAAAGTCCAGCTCTGAAGGCAGCACAGAAGTGAGGGTGGAAATCCCATGATCACCCTACAACAGGTTTGCAACACCCCCCCCCCACACATACACAATCCCCTTTTGGGTCGGGACCCCCCCATGGTTACAACACCGTGAAATTTCAGATTTAAACAACTGAAAACATGAAATTTACCAATTTTCAAATCCTCTGGCCGTGAAATTGACCATAATGGACCATGAATTTGGTAAGGCCCTACAGATAAGGGACCGAAAATAGACCCCACAGTTGCAGAGCAACACCCCAGTCCAGCTTCCTCCTCCTAGTACAATGGATCCCCATTTTGGCCAGCACCAGGAGGAGGTTGACAAAGAGGACTTGCAGTTTTCTGGGGCTCTGGATGGGGTGTGCATAAATGGGGAGGTGCAAACAGAACTTCATTAAAAGGCTTTGGAGGAGCTGGAAGAGGGCTGCAGCGTGACAAGCTCTATATAGATGGCTGCCAGGGTCTCCCTCTTGCCGCAAAAGGGACAGGTGTCAGGGGAGTTTATGAACCATGCCAGCTACACACCCGTGCTTACGGCTCCACGTAAGAGCAGCCAACTAATACCTCCAGCGGTGTGTGGAACCAGAGTGAGAACAGACTGACTCACTGGGGTTCCTTGCCCTCCTCAGGTGGCAGCAGGTCCTGTTACCTGGTGTCAGGGCAGGACACGAGGGCGAGGCAGTAGATGGTAGGAAGCATGAACTTGTACAGATGTTCTCCAGGTGCAGTTCGGAGGCGAACCAGCTGGATGTCACTCAGATGACACAGGTGAAGCGTTGGGGCAGCCAGGGCCCAATTACAAGCTCTGGAGGGTAGTGGTGAGCAGGGATCACCCTCCCACAGGACCCACTCAAGGAAAGCGAGAGAACAGGGAGCAAGGGGGAAAAGTGCAGCGTGGACAAGACTTGTGTTAGAGCAGGGCAGTACCCTGACTATTATTACCTGGTTCAGTCTTGCCTAGGTGGTTGCAATCAAGCCATCTTATGATCATGTAATGACCCTGTTCTGTTACAGGGCTATAGCATGTTCCCATTTACACAGGCAAAATCAAATCTTCTTTTAACATGGCATAAGCATTTCCATGTTATAATATGATGCCCTAGTAATATAACTGTAGAAATGAGCTAACCAGGGGGAAGACACGGAGCAACATGCACCACAGTTTGGCTAGAACAGTTCCAGATAAATCCTCCGACTACAATGATGAAGGAAACAGGATTAGAATTCAGATTAAACAACTGGTTTTGTAGCCTGTCTTTCAGTACACTGTGCAATATGCCACAGGTCTTTTCCCAAGAATAACAAACACTTAGGCTATGTCTACATTGGCAGAGCTTTTTTGCCAAGAGCTTAATCGCTGATAAAAAAAGTGCTTAAAGAAAACCACTGTTGTGTTTCACATTGTCTTCCACTGGAGGCATAGCCTGTTCACACTTGCATCACCAATGAGAGCAGTGCACTCCCCCTTCTGCCGCTAGGTCTTGTGGGAAGGCGGAGGGGATTGTGGCGCATCATGGGTCCAGGCTTAATGCCCCGTGATGCACTGCTTTCCGTCCCAGCATTCCATGTGCTTCCGTCTTCAGTTTGCGGCATTTTTCAATGTCCCTTGTTTTCCGCTTTCCCTGCCACATCTATCTGCAGGAATGTATCCCGCACTGCT